CCAAGCTAAGGGGCTGGCTAAGGGCCAAGGGTCCTGAGAGAACGTATATATAGGCTGCGGAGGGCCCCCCCAAGCTGCGGAGGGCCAGAATTCAGATGTATCCTATCCCATACCTATATTCTAACTACCTGCGGACCCTGTGGAAGACCTCTTCACTCTGCTCTAAACACCGTTCTGACAGATCCTAAGAGGTGTCATGCATCTTAAATTTTGTGATATCAACGACGTCTAAACCTATGTTTGCACGTCTCGAATCATTCGCCTTTGGCATGCTCAACTCTTGGGCCTCGGTGGATGGATGGACGGCGAAGCAAGGACGGATTTCTTTCGGCCCGGACCCCGTGGCTTGACGAGAAGACCCCCGGGCGATTTTCATCGTTGCCACCCTTGCTCCATTGCAGATTTTGCAACGCTTCTCAGATAACTGTTCGACACGCTTGAATATGATTGACATTGGAGCAATTACCATCTCTCTCGGTTTTCTTCCCAGAAACAAGAACGCAAACCAAGGCGTTGTAAGGTCTCTCGAGGTAAAGACCCAGGACACGACTTAAGATTTCACCATCCTGTACAGCTCCCAAATCGAACAGCAGAGCGTGACCATGTACTGGTCGATGCAGTTGTCGAGGGACACCCTCTAAGCACAAGTTAGCGACTATCAGTCCCGGGTAGTCGCAGCTTGAGATGGCCAACGAAGCATCGAATGAACATTTCGATGAGAGCATGACCTGGACAGCCTAGCTGCATACGTGGGAAAACAAGACGATGATCACCTTCGCGCTTACTCATGCCGATTGTGACTTTAGACAACCTGGCATATGGAACGTGTTCGCTCCTCTTGTGAAGGCAGTCGAGCCAAGTTGAGCATCAGTGGAAGTTGCTTGTGAAGAAGCATGAGATGAAGCACCAGAAGAAGGGGTTAAAATCGAGCGCGCGATTTGGCACCTCGGCTCGTGAAGATATCATGTCTGCGATCCCCTGGCCATGAGTGGCAACGTTTCCACCATTTTTGCCATCAGACAACTCTACATAACAATTCTACAACGGGCCGCGGACACGAGAGCAAGCCGACGATTGTGTCGGGGAGCAGATGCTAGAGAAAGCAGATCCACGTCCAACGGACATGACCTGTGCCGGAACAAACGTCACATTATGACCAAGATACTTCATCTGCCTCTGAGATGGAGGTTAGCAAGACGGGAGACAGAAAGAACCAAGTCACAGATACGTTGATGCTTCTACCAGCAATGAAACGAGGCAGTCGGACCAGAACCCTTGACAACGACTTCCAGGGCTACTCAAGCGTTTTGACTCTGAAGGCTCTGCGGCAGACGCAAGGCTTCATGTCGTATTTTGTGGGCGACAACACCCAAGAAGCAGACATTCCAGTGAACACGTAGTAAAGTCGTCCCAGCCAACAGGTAGATTAGACAGGACCTGCCAAACTGCGCCTGCCGACGGTGATCGCACATCAGGCTGGTAAGACGTGGTCAAAACCAAAGCGCAACCGGGCACTTAAGGTACGAGCAGAAATCCCTTCTCAGTAGCAATACCCGCCATCACGTTCGTCGGCAATCTAGCCCAGAAACCCACATTGAATGTTCAGCATCGTCACTAAACCACCACCCAGGGCGAGTGCATGCAAAAGAAACATTCTGTTGTCGTCCCTGCATGACCACCTTCGCGGCGCAGTGCAGGCATAAAAATAGAAGCGATCGTATCGTCCTTTTGTGCATGTCTTCTTGGCCCCCCAAGCTACTGCACCCAAAGTCTGGGGTGTGCCCTCTGACGAGTGAAGGATTGGCTGTGGAGGCCCAATGCCGCCATCGCACCGCCACGGCCAGCACCCCATTTCTTCAAAGTATCGCCATGCCCTCGGCAGACCAGAGGAAGGCCTCGGCACCGGGGCTATATCGAGGCCAATATTCAAAGTACAAGGTTACACGCGGGCGTCAGAGGGCCGGTTCCAGACCAGTCCGACCAGCTGAGGAGAGCCACAGACACGGCAGCGATCACCCAGACGGCGTCGACGACAACGTTGGACGGGCTGTGGCTCAGCGGTGGCGAGGGCGTGAGGCGCAGGCCCCGGGTTGGATCATGGTGATGATGGTGGTGTGTCAGGCTTGGATCACGGCGAACGGGCGGGCATGGCTGCTAGATGGGGGGGAGAACCTGTCTACAGGGGGCCTGAAACGTAAGAATAGGCCACTGGAGGAATTTGGGAGCTTGGTTCCTTGGATGCTGGGCTGGGCGTGCAGCCCTGCTGTGCGATGATGTGGCTAGTGGTCTGCGCGAGTGGTCACTGTGATGTCGTGCGGCGGCCAAACTTGGGACACGTGGTGGAGGGGAGCGAGACAAAGGTGGCGTCGTCGCGATGGAGCGCTTGCGCAAGGGAGCATCCAAGTGTACAAAGGGAGGACCTGCCGAACCATCAAGCAACGTCATGAGGGAGGAGGGCACAGGGAGAGAGAGAGCATTGACGACATGATGCGACAGAAGGGGGGGTTTGATTGAAGGGCACGGCACGTTGGAGCGTTTGACATTTTGACGTCTGGCGTTTGGCGGCGACGCCGAGGCAGACGATGACTAGTCACAGTCGGGAAACAAATGCGGACGCCCTGGCCACGGGGCAGCATGAGCGTACATAGTGGGCAGGCAGGAGGGCAGGAAGGAGGAGTAGGGCTCGCGAGGATCAAACTCGCCAACTCGGGAGGGTTTCCTCGATGCCAATTGTTGGACGCGGACACGATGAATGCATCATTGCCGCAGTAGCAGTGCAGGGGCATTGCCTGCCACGAAGGGTGGCAGAGGGACAGCGCTCATAGGGCCGCTCGAAGCCAATCAGGCCCACGCCAGCCTCCTCGAAATGCTATGTACCTGTGCTCCAGCACATCATGCATGGACGAACGGACAGTATTCCAAGTTCTCTGCCAGAGAAGTACGCTGCACCCGGTGGTTCACTGTCTCTGCACGCCCGCTTCGCTTCCACTGCAACACGACACGAACCGACACGTCGCCGGGCGCGAAGACCTGCTCGCTGTCTCGGGGGCCTGTCTTGGATCTTCTTCGACGCTCGGGTCGTGCCTGTCCTGATCGACGCTGCTGTCCTTGTCTTGTCCAGTAGGCTCTCTCTCGACAGTCGAGTTCAATTTCGAGGTGTCCATCGTGACCCCCCCCCTTCCCTCTTCCCTCTTCCCTCTTCCTTAGACCACGTCTTCGACAGCCGGATCCCATCCCTTTTCCAGGCTACCTCCTCCGTCTCGTCCGTTTCGCGCGCGACCTGCTGCCCGTTGAAAGTGAAGGTAATCTCACAGTCGACGCTACGATGTACGGGCCGGGTAGCCTCGCTTGTCCAATTACCCAGGTTGCCTGCTTCCAGGACAGCCCGCCAATGAGACAGTCATGACAGGGTCGCGTTACTTGGCTGGAGACCCGCATGAGCTGCGACGCACCAGTCAGAAGGCCTTTGTCTTTCGCCCTCTAACACGGTTCCGGCCTAGGTCAGGTGCAAGGATACTGGCCAAGCCGGCCAAGTGCTGGCCATGCCAGGACCCCCCCGGCAATCTGGCGACGAGCAGCCAGGGGAGGGGGCCTGGGGTGCCGCCATTCGGGGGGGGGGCGGGAAGCCCTGGAGCTGGAGCCAACCTTATATCGTGCCCGTCTCTCTCACTCTCGCTCGCGCGCGCGCTGGAGCAGGTTCGCCGCCGCTGCTCACCCACCCAAGCCACTCATCCACCTTCTGTTCTGCCCCGTCCCACGCCCGCCGTTTCTGGTCTGGTCTTGCCTGTCACCGTAACAACAGCCATCGCCAGCTTCAGCTTGCTTTCTCGCGACCCGGCCTTTCCAACTCTCTTCACTTCCCTCGACCTACCTTCCCTCCCCACCGCTCTTCTACCACGTCTCTCCCACATCAATCGAGCAGCGAACTCGACGATTCTCTCCCGGGCACACTTGTCCATCGTCTTTTGCTCCGCCCAGACAACACAGCACATTCCCCCCTCCAACGCCTTCTCCGAGTTGCACGTCGTACGGAGGCCCGCATCCGAACCTACGATTGATCCACCATTGAGACCAACCACCTCCACTGCGCCTTCACCGCAAATCCAACACGCCAGAAGCGTCTTGCATTCCGATCTTGACGTGCATCGAAATCGGGCAAACAAAGAAGCGAAAAAGCAAAAAAAAAAGGCAAAAAAAGCAGAGTAGCTAAACCCACGGCCCCATCCTCGCTGCATTCCAGCCTGTAATCGCCAGGGCCATCGGGCGGCCGTCCTTGGAGCAGCAAACTGAAACACCCTCTGTCACGACCACGCCTGGCAGCCCGCTCGCGAGCGCAAACCACCGGAAAACCTTGCCTATCACTCCTCAAGGCACACGGCGATACCTTCGTCGCCCTCACGACCATTGACAATGGGCTCCACACAATTTGGCAACTTTCACGTACGTCCCACCTAGGTCCTCGTTCGTTGGTTGTCAACCCGCTAACACAGCCTCCTAGAACTTCTGCCGGGACTCGACGTTACCCGTTTGCAATGTCTTGTCCGACGCGCACGACCAATCTGGCCCATGGGGCGGATGTGAGCTCCGCGGCATCTCTGTCGGAGGGGATCGCAGGCTTGGCAACCTCGGATCCATCATCATCGCCGCCCTCGCCATGGCGACCTCGGCCTTCCTTTTGTTCAAGTCGGAGAGGAAGAAGGCAGCTGTTGGGCGAAGGTACGCATAGCCCTGATGGCACGGCCACGTTGCTGCGACATGAGACTGACTTGACGCACCAGGGAAATGCAAATATTCCTCGCTACCTACATTCTTATTTCGCTCGCAGAGATCTTCACTGTTGGAGAGTTTCCCCTGCCCGACGGCGTCCGCATCGTACGTTGCCGTCTTGAGTCCACTTGGTCCGGACCCCACCGCTGACCCCTCTCAGGCTTTCACTGGCATCCACATTGGCTTGATCATTGCCTCGACCTGGATTCTCATGCTCAACGCCCTCGTCGGCTTCCAGATTGTGGATGACGGCACGCCACTTTCTCTCGGTCTCATGGTGCTGTCAGCGGTCCTTCTCTTCGGTGGCACTCTGTACATCACCCTCGATACTGGTTTCAAGTGGACGGGCTACTGGAACGACAGCTACAACTCACCACCGAACCGCCACATCGCCCTCTACGTCCTGTACCAGCTGGTCCCGCTCATCTTCCTCGTCGCCTTCTTCGTACTCGAGGCCGTCCTCGTCCTCCGCATCCTCGGCGAGACGAGGCCCATGATTTATTTGACCGCCGCTCTCGTCCTCTTTGCTCTTGGCCAGGTCTTCAACTACGTCGTCAGCTCGCATATTTGTGACGGCACCAACGGCGCCATTGACGGCGCGCTGTTCCAGACGCTCTTCACCCTGCTGTCCGTCGTCATGGTATGGATCTTCTGGTCGAGCATCACGGAGGACGACTGGCCGATGCAAGTTGGCACCGCATACCCTTAGACGGGGACTGGTGAATGTTCGCAGGAGGGTCAGCAAGCAGACAGCGATGTGAAGGGGTCAGCTCCATTGCTGCCCTGTTGAAAGACGAAGCTGCTGCGGCTGATGCTGCATTGGGAAGCAGCGCACCGGGGCAAGACCACAACCAAACCAGTTTGGTCATGTACACAAAACCACGTCCCTTTCGAAGGTCGCCCCAGAAAACGGGAACGACCGTCCACGACGTTACGGAAACGGAGTTCCAGGATCGCCAGGCGGACATTGTCTATTTTTCGACACACTCATTCATTTCTTCGCAACGACGGCAACGAACCGATCGCACGAAACACAGCAACGTTTTTCACGAGCAAAAAAGGAACGAAGAAGAGTTCCTATATGACACATGGCAGTACTTCTAATACAGCCGGAGACGCCCCAACCCAGGCCGGAATACGCCTCGAGGCAAGGGGGGCTGTCTGGGGCAGGTCGTCGCGTCCGCCTGCCATGGGCCGCGATCGACGAGTTTTGGTTATTTGAAAACGAGATGGGCCTCGGAGAGAGGAAAGTGGGTGGGCTTTTGGACATGGATGTGTGTGCAAGG